GTTTTCCACATCAGTTAGTATATCTTTGATTATAGCTAAGCAAAAATTGTAACATATAAAATAAAGCACATAGTAACCTAGACAGCGATTATACAAATTTCAATTTATTATTGTAGTCAATCCCCACATCTATTTTGACATATATAAAACATAAACCAACCAAAACTAACAGAAAGTCCTTTATTATGTGGAAACATGCTAAAGAAAACTGTTACTATCATTCTGAAAGTTCTCTTGATTTCCAGACAAGAGACTGTTCAAGTGTATCATGTGAGCTAGCTGGCATTCTTCACCAGTTACTCATGCGCTGGAACTGCATGCTAAAAATCATGTGACTACCTTGAGGAGTCTGAGAAATTTCTCAGAATGCTTTTTAAAAGTTTTAAGTTTAGCATAATAAAGTATTTCCAGCTTTTAAATAAAATAAATTACATGAAGCAAAGGATTACATCTACTCGGTTTCCTGAGATTGATATCATTATTAAAAATTATTAAGCAATTTCTTCAATAATTATTGAGTCAAATATTCCATTTGTCACTAAAACTGATGTCAAATTAAAAGCTAATTTCTAAATTTCTCCACTGATACTTTAAAAGAAACAAACAGCATCCATATAGGATGCAGGGTTGAGAAATGGAGATGTAAATTAGGACGTGTCAATTTTCATCTTTTTAAACTGTTTTAATTTTTGAGCCATGTGAATATTTACTTTTTAAAGTAAATACTTTCTGTTAGCACCTGTGTTTTTAAAATCAAACATAAATGTGTACATGCATATATGTGTGTGCAGACTTTAAATTATAAAAAAGTTCCCTTAAAATTTAATGACAATTTTTCATAACATCATAGGAAGCAATGCATCTAGTTTACAGAAATAAGTAAATAAAATTTCTGACTAAATGAAATTTCACAATCATGGCTCTTTCCCTCTTAAGACCTTAAGACATTTTCCAAACTGTAACAAATCTAAGACAGATGGCTTGAAAAGAGGAAAGAGATAATAAACAATTTCATTGTACTTAGGTTTTAAATAATTATACATACTACGAATCAGTTGATCTTTCAAATCATCTTATAACTAGTACATATGGACAGCTTATGGAGAGCTGGTTTGTTAGTTAGAAATCTAGATAGGTATGTTTAGATATGGGCCGCTGATAGTAGCATAAAAACACTGAACAATATTTTCAGTTGAGAAGGAGATCTAGATACCTGATGTGATTTAGAGTAGAGCGAAACATATGATAGGGCATGAGAGGATTTCAGACCGCCTGTGAGATAGGGTAGATCAAAAGCAAATTACACATGGTGACAGGGGTCTGCTGGAGGGGGGAAATGCATTATCTTTTAGGGGGCATAGCATTTCAATTTGAGGTAATAAAAGAAAATTAGGTGGATAGTGATGGTACCTGCACAGCAGTGTGAATATATTAAATGCTGCTGAAACTTAAAAAGGGTAAGTTTCATTTTTATTTACACAATACACAATAAAAATAAATTTAAAACAAATGACACATTAAAATATCAACATAAGCAGTTCATTCCTCACCTGAAAAGAACCTTAATAATTTTATACTATTTAACTGATCTGGGAATACATAATGTTTATCTACTAGCTATTTAGGCATAGTAATTTTAAGGACACATAAAGATATTTTAAATTAAAATAAGAACAAATGAACTTTTATGCCAAAGAAAATGTTTCAGTACTTTATATAAATATATTTTGCTTTCTAACAATATAATCATGATTTTTTTTTTATAATGGAGAAAGGAGCCCAGGAAAGCAAAAGTGGCTACAGTGCACGAAAATCATGAAGATGGCACTTATGCATGCCATTTTGCAACATAAGAATATCAAGGTACAACAAAAGACATCCAAAACAAAACAAAATGGGTATGGAAGTAAAGTAGTACTTAAAAAAATAATACATACACGAGCAACTATTCAGAATATGATGCTTATTAAAATCTTAAAAATATTAAAATGGTATCTCTATTATTTAATACTTTTCAAACAACTCCTTGAGATATAAATTGATAGTTATTTCCATAAACAAATAAGTACTTAGAAATTAGTGGGAAATTAAAACCACTAGAGACTACTAACAAAGGAGGAAAGCATGAAGTGCGAGGGAAAAAAATTAATTCAAGATATAGTATAATTCAAAGTAATTCAAAGATATAGTATAATCTTAGTTAAAATCTTCAAATAACTCAAATGTTAGAAAAAGCGTATGAATTTAAAATAAATTTTAAAGGCTAAAAAAAGAACATGTCTCTAAATCTATTGATACATGATAAAAACAAAACACAGATATTTAAAAAACATTTAAAATATTTTAAAATATTTTAAAAATATTTTTAAAGCTACAAATCAATTTCAAATGTGAGGAAACGCAAAATAAGAAAGGTTAACGTGCAGAAAAAATGAACTGACTTCCACACCTTCATTATACACTATACAGAACTTCAGATAGGTTATACATTTATTTTTTAAACTATAAAATCATGGAATATTTCCAGTAATGAAAAGGAGTCTGTCTTTTGATTTCAAGAAACTCATCAAGGTACTATAAAAAGTGTTCATAAAATAACACCAGAGTAAAGATAAAATGAGAACTAACAGTAAGAGGATGACTTTGCAAATAGAATGCTAGATAAAGCTTTATCTCAAAACTATACAGAAAACAGATCTTGGTTGACACCCAGCCCTCAACAGAAAAACCACCACAAATAAGACTTTAATCAAGTGTCCAGAGCTGCATTCATTTAAATACGTGCCAAGTACCGCTACAAACACCTTACCTATTGACTATCTCACGGTCACAGCAATCCCCATCTGAAAAAGATACTATTTTATGCGGCAAACTAGAAAAGTAAGTCCCAGAAAGACACGTTACTGACCACTGTGACACGACTCGGTGGTTAGAGTCAGAATTTGAACTTAGTCTCATTTCAGAGTCCACAGTCTCAACCACTAAGTTATTTGCTTCCTTCCTCTATACCACAAAATTTGGTGAATTGTTTACAAATCTAAGTTACTTCACATAAATTACTAAAATGTAGGAGAATGCACAATTAGGAAATGTGCTGGGAATTGAAGCTAATGTCTCATACATGATAAGCATGCACTCTACCACGGAGCTACAGGCACAGCCCTAAGAAGGCCTTTGATAGAATGGTTCCTAATGATAGAAGGGTTCCAAGAAACTTGATATTAAAGGGATAAGCAGACACTCCATGACAGAAATGATTCTAAAAAAATGTAAACTGGTTCTGAAAAAACGTAAGTCACAGAGACAATAAGCAAGATAGGAAAATACCCCACACAAAAGGAATAAAAGAACCAAAAGTGCCAAGCATAGTGACCCACACCTATAATCCCAGCACGCTGGAATCTGAGTCAGAATTACAAACTCAAGCCTAGACCACCAACTTAGGAGACTTTAGTGAGACTTTGTCTCAAGGGAAAAAAACCTGGCCAAAGGCTCTAAGTTCAATTCCTAGTACTTGACAGGGCGAAGGGAGGGGGGGGGGGCATTTTACCTAAGATATAAAAGCACTGGCAACTCAAGTAATTAGTTGAAATGAATGGGAAATAGAAGTAAATAGAAAATAACTAGCCCAAAGGACTAAGAAATTGAGACTGAATTCTCTATGGAAGATAGAGAAGTAAGGTGAACATAGCTGTCACATGGCAAATGAAAACGAGAATTAGATATAAAATAGATGATAATAGAAACAAATGCCAGAATGTTAATCAAAACTCCAGGCAAGGTAAGGAATGTCTCAAGTAAAGTGGGCTAAATCAAAATGGAGAAAGAGGAATAGATACAAAGAACATAGTAGTTATTCAGATTCTAATTAAATTAATGAACTGGGCCAGAAAGCACAAGACTCAATATACTGAAATGCAAAGATAACAAAGGGACTAGTGGGGCCATGTCTGAATCAGTCTTTGGAAAGTATGTAGGGAAGTGCATTAGGGATCCTCAGAGCTAGAGTGAAGGGGTAGACAGGCCCTGAACAGAAAACAAGCTCTCTCTGCCTGACAGCACAGGCTGAAGAATTAAGGAGACTCTCATCAACATTTTCAGAAGGCCTGTGAAGAGTAAAAGTATTCATTAACAAAATAAAGATGGAGGCGACTCTGAGGTTTTAAGTACAATGAAAAAAATTATCTCATCATTAATTGCAACAGGAAACGAAGGAAAAGTAGGTTTAAGCAAAAAGAGATGAGCTCAGGTTTCTGTAGGGTAAGATAAAGGACTATATATTATGAAATCTAAAAATGATGTTGTGTCCACAGGACCAGTCCTTGGGTAAGAAGAAGCAGAACTAAAAATCAGAACTCTTCCATATAAAAACACTTGAAAGTTTCAAGACATTAAAAGAAAAAGCGTTACGAAAAACAAACTAAGGAAAATTTAAGGAACATCGGTATCTATGAGAAAAGGAACAGCCAAAGAAGATACTGTGAGTTACTAAGATGACCACTCAGAAGAATCAAGTGCAGTGCAACAGTGCTTCATAGTCTTTTTCATATCAAAGTACACAAACAAGTCAATAATATTTGTGGCACAATATGGTAGACCACTGATGGCGGAATGTTATTAGCCCAGGAGTACAGGAAATCATATGCATGCCTGGTAATTTACTTTTGTGCTACCTGGAAAACAGCAACACATGCCAAAAGTTTAAGGTTATATTTCTCTAATTTCTTTCTTTCAATAGTCAATAATCAAGTTGGATGGAATACTGCAGAAGCAACAAATCAAGTGAAAAAGATTTCACAGAAGAAAAATAGTAAAAGACAGAGACTAACAAAGTACCAACTATTTACTAATCATGTCATGCTGATAACATGGGGTAACCTATGTGGGATGATTCTTCAAGGTATTCCTGTAAACACATTCCCCTTTTAAACTACATTGTAACGTAATGCCTTTACCCTCCTCATTTTTTTTCTTCATCTTTTGAAACTTAGAACACTTACCCAGTGCGGGATTGGCCGACCTTATCACAAATATCCAGAATGAGGCCCCAGTCCTCAGCCGTGTTCATCTCACTGGTTGCTTTCTCTGTAGATTACAAGAGGAATTGTAGAAACGTTATTTTTCAGATCTTTAAAGTATATGTAATCACATTCAAATCACCAAGGTATGGTTTAATCAAGTTTTAATAAAAATCCAAACAGCTGCCAGCACTCCAGTCAGCAAGACCTTTATATCCACCTTTAGCCCTGGGAGTATAACATGTTTTTTAACACAGAGGCACGTTCATGGGTGTTTAAAACCCATATTTATTCTTTAGAATATAACTATTGATGAACTGTTAATTTCAATTTTATGAATTTTATTATCTTAAACAATGAATGCTTAAACAGGAAAAAACCCACAAAAATAACGTATTACATTTTTAATATTTATTGTCTATAAAAAGAGCATCAAAAAGTTTAACATCAACTGATTTTAGGTGTAAAAAGCCTAAAAAACTACAACAAAAGTAAATACCTATATGAACTAAAATGAAAATACCAACAGCACTCTACAAAAAAAGTTTTAATTAGCACAGCTAAATAATAAGAAAATAAGATGTCAATAAAATATCAAATATGTAATGAGTTTTTATAATAGAGATCAACATTTTCACATCAGCTGTGTGCTTGCTTGCAAAACCTACAAGATAATATCAGAAATAAACTCCTATATAAACTACAATGAAAATACCAATATCATTCTACAAAAAAAAAAACTTTACTTCAATTATCAGACCTAAATAATGTCAATAAGATAAAATATTAAATGTGTAATGAGTGCTTAGTATAGACATCAACATTTCACATCAGCTATAGTATACTCGCTTATAAAACCTAAAAGATAGTATCAGAAATAAAAGCCTATGTGAGTTGCAATGTAAACACAAAGCCACCAAAGAAATAATTTTTGCTTAAACTATCACACTTTCCAAGGGATTCTTCACACATGACAACGTATATTCCAGACACACATCTCTCTAGTACTGACAGCACATGTTCTTAGCATTTCTTTCCTATGTAGCAGGCCATTCTCATCACCTCTCTATTCCTGTTTTGTCAAGACCTTCTTACTATGTTGTACAATATGCACTTGGCAGAGGAATAAGCTATCAATAATAAAATACAATATCAAATGTGTTATGAGTGCTTAGAATAAACATCAACATTTTCACATTAGCTGTTTACTTGCTTACAAAACTTAACAGGTAACTTCAGAAATGAAAACCTATGTGAACTACAATGAAACTACCAAGAGAACTCTACAAAAAAAATGATGTTTGCTTCAATTGTCATACCCAGGGCACTCTTCACACATGAAAATTGACTGTTCCATGAACAAGTATCACGCTGCTAGTATATACGTTTTGTTTTTCCTATCCTTTCTTGTATGGCACAGTTGACATCTTTTTGGGTTTCCTGTTGTCATAGTAGACCTTTGGGATGCTGTGCCTGCCTGTTCACCCATCAGTCACTAGTGTTACTGCCTTTGAAAACCATCAAGCTATTTATGTCACACATGCTTAGCAGCAAGTAAAACACAACCACTGATCAATGCTTTCAGATAGTAATAAATAAATAGTTTCCAGTGACATCACAGTTGCTGCATAACTTATCAAGAACATGTACTCCACTTCTGATTTTTTTGTAGAAAGTTTCTGTTTTATCACAGTTTCCCTATCAATTATTCCATCATGGTACAATGTCGACATTAGCAGTACCAGTTTGCTTTTCTTTGCCATATACGAGACCAATATAAATCTTACTGAAATCCAAAGATTGTACTATACAATTGCAACATTTCATGTGGAGTTTCTGCTTTGCTCCTGTATATAGCTCCTGTGCTGGTCAACATTTGCTCTGTTAGCAAATGTAACATCAATTGGAAACTGGTAATCCAGTTGTCTAATGTCATAGTCTGATATTTTGGGAGATAGAAGCAACAAGTTTGTCCACAACATTGTTTAGTTTTATTACTATCTGAATAAGGAACTGATGGCTGAGTTCCAGGATAAATTTCTAAACTAAAGTATAGTAATTCTTCACATCTACAAAGGCATAAATTTTTATGCCATATTTTGACCTATTGCTCTCTCATAAGTTTTTTACATTCCTGCAATTACCATGAGAAATCCCCGCTAAGTACAGCAGACCTAGGAATGCTTTCAGTTCAGCTAATAAAGTGTCATAATAATACATTCTTAAATATGGCTACTGGTGCATACAAAACTTTTTACTTGCATCTCAGCCTTTGTGTATTTCACAGCATCTTGTAGTATTTCATCTAGAATGATTTCCAACACTGAATGGCAGTGTTGGTATTCTATCTAATATGCTTCCCCGCTTTAAGACCCACACTATATTTTTGGACCTACTTCTAATTGCTGTTTTCTTTGTCATCTGAATCAAAGAGGTATGCTCTCCCTGTGTCTGTATGGGTCAATTCTTGCTCCATTTCACTGTCACAGGAACTTTGGCTCCCATGGCCAATGTAAGTTTTTATCATCATCATCATCATCGTCATCACCACCCACACCACTCTTACGTTATGAAAACATGTATTTTACTATAGTAGAACACCTTCATCATCCATGCATGAATAAAACTGATGATTCACTTTTGACCTCCTCTAAAAATTGTAAATTGGATTTTTCACGTGTCATTGTACTGAACTGGGCTACTTCTACCACAAAAATCTAAAAAAAAAATTTTTTAAAGACAAACCTAGAATAGTGTGGGTATATTACACTTCCTGAGATGTTCAGGTAAACATATGCAACAACTGTTCCTAGAGCATCATATGAGTATAATCCTGGTTTGACATTTTTGCACATGTGCACACACCTTGACTTTTGTTGTATGAAGTTGATAAAACAAAGACTACTTCCTGTATTCCTCAGAGATAGGTACTGAGATGTATAGCCAGACACTATCATGCTAAAGTAGAAAAGGGACATCGGACATTGTTGGGACCCAGTGTTATGCTCCAATAAAGGGTTTGGAAAGAACATAATGTCTATCACCTATCATAATTTTCCCCATTCACACTTCAGTTGTTTTTTGATTGGTTTTTCTTAAAGAAAAACAGTTACATACAGGTCCACTCTACCTGCAAATAGACTAAAATAAGAAATATGATTTTCATTTTGAAAAAAATTTCCTTACTTGCCTACGAAGTAACATAGCCTAAGCAAAGATCTCAATCAAAATGCCTCAGGCAATTAATTATTTAGCTAGAATTGCTTTTTTGGTTGGGGAGAGAGGATTGAAGGAAAGAAAAATCAAGCTCTGAATATTTTTTCCTAAATAAAAACTTGGCATATTAAAAAAAAATTAACAGAGTTATAGCAGATTGGACCCAATCATCTAATTTAGCTCCCTTCCTTAATTACAAGTTTTTTTAGATAAATACACAAGGTCAAAGTAAACATCAGAAGTGATAAATAGCAACTGTATCTTAAAAGTTTTATACCAAAATAAATATATATGGTACATAAATATATACGTAATCTATAGAGAACACCCAAGAAAAGTCATATATCTGCACTAAGGAAAAAAAGCTTAAGAACAAGGCTACTTTATACTACTTAATTTTCAGAAGGTTCAAGCTGGTAGCAGAAAGAATGGTTGGAAATGAAAGTGAAGGAAGAGGACCTAGGGAGGAACAGTAACAGCTGTTGGGAATGTAGGTGCCTTTCTCACTAGAACCACTAGCAACTATCTCTCATGCAGAGCAGAGGAGTGAAGAGTGAAGTGAAGATTCTTTCTCTGGAAGTCAAGCGAAATTTTCTGGACTAATAGTCCCCAAGCATACTGGAATCCTAGGCATAAAAAATGAAGGAAATCTTTGTTTTCAATTTGACATGTATGGAATTTAGCAGTCAGCAGCCCATGTGAACAAGTAAAAAGTTGAATACGTACTTCTCTTGGATCTTTCAGGGACAGGAGCTTAAACAGTGAACCTCAATCCAAGAACTAGAGACAGACAAGCAGACGCAAAGTATCACAACTTTACACAGTCAGCAATCACCACCCACAACCAAAGCAACCAAAGCCTGGATGTAAGATCTAAAGGTGATTGACAAATTGCTAGAGACTTGGTGGGGATAAGCATGAGAGTTAAAACTCTAGAGGCGAGCAAATCACAGGGGCAGCTCAGCTCTGTGAGTTTTATCCAGGAACAATACTAGTTTCTCATGGTAAACAGGACAGAAATTCCTACCTAGTATCAGGAGAGGGAGAAAAAAGGAAAAAACCATTTGAAAATACACCAGAGCACTCTGTTCTTCTTAACAAGGCCTACCTTGTTAAGAGCAACAATTTCACTACTTGCTCTAATCATAGTTTAGATATATTAACTCACCTGAGATAAGGGGCATTCCTAGCTCCTACTTGCTCTTGTCTGCTACCTCAGCAAAGAGAAATACCCAGCCACAGTCCACTCTCCCATCTCACCTGAATGAGGCAAAGACTAAAGGAAAAGGTGGTACAAAGTTCATAGTCCAGAGACCAAGCTCTTCATTAAAACCTGAGTATAACTGCTTGTGAACCAAGTACCTCTACCATATTAATACTAGTGAAAAATAGAAACAAAAAGTGAAAGTGACAGGCCTGGGGGTATTCCTATAATCCCACCACTCTGGGAGGTTAAAGCAAGAGCATCACAAGTTCAAACAAAACCAGAGAAACTTTAATTTTGTCTCAAAATTAAAAATTAGAAAAGGGCTGGAAATGTAAATTAGTGTGAAGGACTCTGGATTCAATCCCTATTACTCAGAAAACAGCACAACCCAAAAACGAACAAAAAATCTAGAAGCTACTAAGTATACCATTTCGGGATAGAGCTGACTTATACAGCAAGAAAAGTTATCAGGGATAAAGAGAATCACTACACAATAGATGTCAATTCTCCAGAAAAACACAGCAATCCTCATTCATGTACCTAATAATAGAGCATCAAAATATATGAAGCAATAATAAAATAAGAAATCAACTATTAAAATGGTAAGAAGAAAGCCACTATTAAAACCAAAGAAATGAACAGAT